ATAAGTCTGAGATCAGATTCGTAACAGCGACCCCGAAAACCCCTGAGTACTCAGTTTCATCAAGATCGGGTAATTTTTACTTTTAGGGGGCCATCTTGAATCCGCCATTTTGAATTTTTGCAATCTGAGATCAAATTCGTAATGTACGATTACCTGACTGACATTACCCGCACTGTGTCAAGCGAAACTATGAGTAGAGCAGTCTAGGCTAACTTGGCGTTTTCGGTTTGGGGCAATTTTCGAATTCATAACAACTTATCCGTGTTAGGATCTAAGATCAGTTTCACTTATTTTTCACAAACCATAACAAATGAATGACTGATTCTCTTTTGTCTCTTGTTTCATTGCATTTTGCACATTCATATCTTTTTTCTAGTGAACATATTGATAAATGTTCATCGATTTTAACGTTTTATCACGTGTATCTTTTGTGCATAATATTTTGATTTGTCAATTTTATTGCGAAAGTTGAGGACAAGTTCCTGCAACATGGAAACATTATATGAAAATATACCTAATGATTCTGAATCCATTGATGGACTGTGTGATTCTGAGGATAAAGATGTTGATATTTCTGATGTTGAGACTAGAATAAATCACGATGTGGAGCTTTCAGAAGAAAGTGACGTTGGAATGGATAGTGTTGAATGACAGTGACAATGAATCAAATGAAATTCTTACAGTACGATTAGCAAATTTAGATGGAATTTGGGAAAAAAATCAAGATCAAAAGATGACACCCCTTTCACTAAAAATTCTGGTCCAAATATTCCGGATTCAGCCAAAACTCCGTTGGATATTTTTTTGTGTTTATTACCTAATGAATTTATAGAGTTGATTGTTCATCAAACTAATCTTTATAGTGCTCAAATAGAGAAGAAGCCGTTCAATGTTGTTACAAAGGATGAAATATTGAAATTCTTAGGTTTGAACATTTTTATGGGTGTAAAGAAACTGCCATCCTATCGTGATTTTTGGTCAAGAAATGAACTGCTCCATGACACATATGTCTCAAACGTATGACTGTCATCCGCTTTGGATACTTATTATCTCATTTTCACCTAAACGACAATTCAAATGAACCAAAGAAGGGGCAGCCAGGATTTGATAAGTTATATAAAATCAGACCTTTACTCGATAAACTATCTGAAACTTTCAAAACCTGCTACAAACCAAATCAGTACCAATTAATCGACGAAAGTATGATTTGTTTCAAAGGAAGGAGTTCATTGAAACAATACATGCCGATAAAGCCCATAAAACGTGGCTATAAGGTTTGGGTACGTGCAGATGAAAGTGCTTTTGTGTGCGAGTTTCAGGTTTACGTAGGAAAATCAGATAATAATCAGTCGGAGAAGTCATTAGGATCAAAGGTGGTGAAAGATCTAACTCGAACAATTGTCGGAGATAATCACCAAGTATTCTTCGATAATTTTTTTACCAGTACTGAACTTATGATTTTCTTGAAGACTGAAAATATTATGGCATGTGGAACTGTAAGAAGCAACAGAGTCGGTTTACCCAAGACACAAAAGAAAGATAAGGATATGGTAAGAGGTGAGCATGAATTTCGTAGTTCGTACAAGGGTCTTGCGTGGCTAAAATGGAAAGACAATCGAGTAGTGTCACTTCTATCGAATTTTCATGATCCTTCAGTTACGATAGATGTCAATCGACGAATGAAAGATGGTTCGACAAAAATTATAAGCTGTCCTGAAATGGTAAAGGAATATAATAAGCACATGGGCTATGTCGATAAGGCGGATATGTTGAAATTCTTATACGAAGTTGATAGAAAGTCAAAGAAATGGTGGCTGCGAATAGTTTGGCACTTTCTTGATGTTTTATCATTTACAAACAAAGTAGCAGTGCAAACAATCTATCGCTAAAAAAATTCAGACTTGCGCTCGTGGATGGATTGATTAGTGGAAGTATTCCTACGAAAAAAGGCAGGAAACGTTCTTCCGTTGACTGTGCTCAGACATGTAAGCCACAGGTGTCCCTCCAAAAGAGACATGCTTCTGCGGCTCACATGCCTCAAATAATCGAGGAAAAGAAATCGAGACGTTGCACTCATTGCTCAACTAAGATCAATCGAAGAGTCACAAAATGGAAATGTAGCACCTGCAATGTACCTTTGTGTCTCTTACTCGATCGCAATTGTTTCGCAGAATACCACGCTTGAGAAGGTTACAAAGTAGGATGTATTTATTTCAATTACCTAATTTGTAATCTATTTATTATAAAAAAGAAAAAAGTAAAAAAAATTAATAAAATTATAAAAACCAAAAAAAGGTAATAAAATAAAT